CTAAGGATTATTGTGCTGCACTTTTCTTAGACCTGTCTAAAGCTTTTGACACTGTGGATCATAACATCTTGTGTCATAAGCTCTCAGAAATTGGTTTCTCAGATCACACCATTGATTGGTTCTCTAACTATCTCTCAGATCGGAGGCAATGTGTTCAACATAATGGTAATTCCTCCATTTATTTAACAGTCAACAATGATGTACCACAAGGCTCAGTCTTAGGACCTACCCTCTTTACAATCTACATAGGTAATGTAGGTCAGAGCATTCCTGATGCATCCTTACATTTCTATGCTGATGACACAGTTGTTTATTGTCGAGCTAAAACTGTTGATAAGGCTTTCCAGCTTTTGCAATCTGCATTTGACATCATCCAGTCTGATTTGTTCTGCCTCAAACTTGTCTTAAATGCCGAAAAAACCAAAGGGATGATTTTTTCAAACAGGAAGTCGGTCCCAGCAGTTTTTCCTCCGATTTTATCCTCAAATGGTGTCCCCATTGAATTTGTTGATTCCTATAAATATTTGGGTATCTTGGTCAACTGGGTTTCTTTTTCAGAAACAGATCCTGTCTAACTCTGAACGCTAGGAAACACCTTGTATCTTTGACTATCCTTCCCTCCATTGATTACGGTGACATTATTTACATGAACGCTCCTACAAGAACCCTGCAGATGTTGGATGCTGTCTATCATGGTGCACTAAGATTCATAACTGGCTGTGATTATCGTACCCACCACTGCACCCTGTATTCACTGGTTAACTGGTCATCATTAACTTCACGTAGACTCTCTCACTGGTACATTTTCATCTTTAAATCACTTCTTGGTCTGCTGCCTTCATAAATCTCCTCCTACATGTCTCTACATGAGTGCAGCGACAGCGTGCGCTCTCAGGACATTATTACCTGCAGTGTTCCCTCAGTGAGGACTGAAGTAAGCAAAAGGGCCTTCTCCTACTCCGCTCCTGTTTCCTGGAATATCTTACAAAAAGATCTGAAGCTCTCGACCTTAACCTCTCTAAGTGGTTTTAAGAATCTGTTGGACTCCTGGCAGGGACCGATGCAGACATGTTCCTGTTTTTACTTTTCTACATTCACCTTATAATCTGTTTTTGTTACTTTTTTGCCCATCTTATTTGAAAAAAAAAAAAATCTGTATGCCTTTTTATAACTTTCTATTGTTGTAGCTGTTGTCCATTATTGTCATCATTCTTTGTTGAAATCAGGTCTCTCTTGTAAATGAGTCCTCGAGGCTCAATGGGATTTACCTGTATAAATTTCCTTCTGGTTGAGTCCGATGGGACAGTTTACTTCAAAGTTGTGTGTTTCATTGACTGATGAAGCCTTCCGGACCCAAGGCAAAACGTTTCAGCACAAAAAAAAAAGAAACTGTCCAGATGACCTGACTGAAAAATGTTGGATTCTATACCTGGATTATTGAGCATGAACTTTGCTGTTTTCAACCAGTGTGACACGACTGTCAACAAGGAAGAGGGCCGGCAATGGAAGAGGGGGCGTACCAAAGAGACCATCTTATCACAAGCAAAACTGGTTTGTTCCACTTTGGAGTAAGCTGTTGGGGGAAGAATCAGTTTTGTTGTGCGTTTCCTTGACTGATGAAGCCTTCTGGATTGAAGGCGAAACGTTTCAGCACAAAAAAAAAAAAAAGAAACTGTCCAGATGACCTGACTGAAAATTGTTGGGTTCTCAGCCATAATAATAAAAACATCCATAACCTTTGACCAACAATTCTCTGACAGAATCACACATTCAGTTAAAATAATTCTGTTGGTGTTCTTCATATCTGAGTGACAGGAGATGTTGTGTCAATTTTGGCAATCATTTATCTGCTTCTGTGCCTCTTTCCTGTGGAGTCCTGCAATGCTCCATTCTTGGACCCCTTCTGTTTTCATTGCATCTGCTCCCCTTGGGGTCTATCCTGAGGAAACATGGTATTTCCATTCATCCATCCATCCATCCATCCATCATCTTTTACCCACTTCTTCCATTTTGGGTGACGGGGGTCGCCGGTTCCCATGTTCAACAATCACTGTGCGAGGGGCGGGGTACACCCTGGACGGGTCGCAAGTCCATCACAGGGACACATAGAGACAAACGAGACAAACAACCGTTCACTCTCTCACTCACACCCAGGGACAATTTAGAGTTACCAATCAGCCTAACATGCATGTTTTTGGTCTGTGGGAGGAAACTGGAGCATCTGGAGAAAACCCAGGCATGCACGGAGAGAACATGCAAACTCCACCCAGAAAGGCCCCTGGACTCGGGTTTGAACCAAGGACCTGCTCGCTGAGAGGCAGCAGCTCTACCAGTTGCGCCACCGTGCTGCCCAACATGGTGGTTTGTTTAATTTTTATGCCGATGATTCACAGATTTATTTATTTTTCCTAACAGTTCTTGTTCCATTCGTCCTCTGCTAAAATATCTTGAGGACATCAAGACTTGGATGGTTTCAAACTTCTTTAGTTTGAATGACCTGAAAACTGATGTCATTGTGTTTAACCCAAGCTCTGCCACTGTCTCTGATCCTGTAAACCTGCACTCCCTTCAGCCACATCTAAAGCAGTCTGTTATCAATCTCAGGATAGTTTTAGACTTGGACTTTAAGTTTAATAAACAGATCAACTCTGTTCTTCAAAAAAATCTCCTTCCAGTTGAGGCAAATAGTAAAGCTTAAGTCCGTTCTGTCCAGATCCGACCTTGAAAAATGAGTCCATGCATTCATTACAACCCAGCTGAACTACTGTAACTCTCTTTATGTTGGGGTCAGTCAGGCTTCGCTTTCACGTCTCCAGCTCGTCCAAAATGCTGCAGCCTGGCTATTAACAGGAACTTATAGATTTGAGCACACTTCACCGGTTCTGTCCTCCCTTCACTGGCTTCCTGTGCATGTCAAGAGTTGATTTAAAAATTCTCCTGCTGACATTTAAGCGCATTAATGGCCTCGCACCCTCATACATCTTCGACCTTCTCCATTCTTATGCTCTTTCTCGGGCTTTGAGATTGTAGTGAACCAGATAACCTCAAATCTACCAGATGGACAGAGACTGTTATTTTCATTGATCTGAATAAGTCTGAACCATCTGATGAACTTTCTTTCTTGAATTAATCAAGCAGAAAAGACAATTCTTTATAATCATTACTGTCTTACAAATGTTTTGATAATCAAATTGTGTTAGTTCACTCAATGCTTTACAGGTTGAAAAGAACTACTAATTTTTATTTTACATAAACAGTAAGTAATGATTTTTGTTCCTCATTCAAAGCAGAAATCACCTGAATATGCCTTTCTTGATTTTTCTGTCTGAAATGAGCAAGCTGTCGTAAGTATGTGAAAGGTTGGTCTTCGGTCAACTAAAATGTTTACTGAAGAAGAAATGTCATGTTTAAACTTTTTCAGAAGATTACTAAGAGTAGACTCCAAAAAGTCTGCTGCTTCTGCAATAATCTTTTCTGTATGTTAAACAAGTTTCATTCTCTGACCTCGACTGTTGATAAACACCTTACGTCAAAAACCACTCCTCTTTCTGGTCCTTCCACGAATCAGAAAGCTCTAAATTGAACAGGAAGTCGACCCAAATAAAATGTGGCAACTCCCCAGTTCAAGTTAGATTGAGAGTTCTGAGAGATGTTGGATTGGGAGCTGACAACAGGTCCGATAGTCCAACAGAATGAGAAGATTGAGAATGCAGTCGGTTCTGAAAGCTTCAGAGCAATGAAGAATCCAGAGGTTTTTTGGGGATTATAATTCTGTTTTGAGCTAATCAACGCACGACTTTCTGAAGGTTTGGTAGCTCTCGACGGAGACGCTGAAACGAGTCAGAAAGGAACTACATCCAACGCTGATTCATCGTCAACAGGTAGATGGTTCTATTTTGACCAAGTGTACCGTGAGAAGCTGAGATCGGACGGAGCGTGCAACTTCTGGTTAAACAGATTAAATCTCCCTCACATATTCCTCTGTAAGATAAATCTCAATTTACTCTTAAACTCACCTCTCTCTCATAAAACAGTACAGATATTTTTAGAAATGTCTGAAGCAAAGTCCTCAAATCACCGCCGAGTGATTTGAAGTTCATTTTCTGTGAAACTGTCTGTTATTATTTTCATATTTTGCCAAATTAATGTAAATGTTTGATGTTAAACTTTGATTTTGAAAATAAATGATTCCATTCATTTGATGGGTCAAAGATAAATAACGTCTCTCGTTCACATTTCTGTTAAATTCAATGCACGGCATTTACAGTCAGAAAAATGAAGAACTCGTGAATATTGTATGCATATATAATTCATATATTTGTCATACAACAAGTGACACGTACCTCACGTGTATCTCTACAAGATCATCAAACCAGCCAAAAACCAGGTTGAAGCTCAGAGGAGATCGAGACTTTTCAGTCGTAGGCCCTAAGCTCTGGAACAATTGGCCCATCAACATCAGACAGGCCAATAAATGTCTCTGCTTTTAAAACTCCTGAAAACGCATCTGTACTCACTGACATTTAACACAGGGTGATCAGATTTAGATTGAATTTTTCTTTGATTCTGATTGTGTTTATGCTTTTTGTTTTATTCCTATTTAACACACGGTCATTGGATCTGATTTAGTATTTCATTCTTTCTGACTGAGTTTATGCTTTTTGTTATTAATCCTTGACATTTGACACAAGGTGATTTGAGTTAGTATTTCATTGTTTCTAATTATGCTTTTAAAAAATATATTTTTATTGCATGTGCTGCAAATATATCTTGTTACTTTTGTTTGATGCTGTGATCTTTTTGTTAAGCACTTTGGTAACAGTTTCTGTTGTATGTGCTCTATAAATAAATCTGACTTGACTTCTGATGAAAAATCTTTATAAACAGATGCTACACCAGTTCAATCCCACATGTTAGACCAGTTTGAGTTGGGAAACTATGAAAATTACTGTTTATTTATTTCCTCTGTTTTAAATTATACATTTGATGTGAAATCCCAGATTCTGCCTGGAGTCCCAGCATTAAAGTCTCAGGTGATCTGAAGGAGGAGGAGTCTGTCTCCATCACCTGCTCAGCTCAGACTCCCTGTCCACACTCACCTCCTGAACTCACCTGGAGTCTCCAACAAGACTCTCAGAGAACAGAGAAGAACCCAGATGGAACGTTTACAACTAAAATCCAGGAGAACATGATTCTGTCAGACACACATGATGGAGACAACATCACATGTTCTGTCAGATATCCTGTGGATGGAGGGAAACGTAAGAAGACAGCAGAAACAAATCTGACTCTCAGTGTTTCCTGTAAGTGATCCTGTGGACCCGTCACGGTTCAGCTGGTTCTGATGAATGAAGTTAATGTGTGACCCGTTCTCCTCAGATGCTCCTAAAGACACCTCAGCATCCATCAGTCCATCAGGTGTGGTGTCAGCAGGTACCTGGGTGGAGCTGAGCTGCTCCAGCAGAGCCAAGCCTCCTGCCAGAACCTTCACCTGGTTCTGGAACAGCAAACATGGACCTGTTCTTGTTTCTGAAGGTCAGGTTTACAGGTTCAACGTCTCTGAGGGAGGAGAGTTTTACTGTGAGGCTCTAAATGATCTGGGCAACCAGACGTCACCTGTGGTTCTTCTTACTGTTGAAGGTAAGTTATTTATTTCCATTTGTTACTTTACTGAACCAGAACTTCTGTTCAGATTTGACACAAGTGTAAACATGTGGAATTAAAGTTTATGATTCAGAACCAAAACAGTTTCTATCCAGTTGAAGATAAATATTCTGTGTTACAGAGAACCGGATGTTTGGGCTGAGTCTTCATGTTACACTGCAGATCCTGGGGATTTTAACTCTCTGTTCTTCAATCATCATCCTTGAGTGGTCAGACACTTTTTCACGAGTTGATACTCTGTACATGTTAAAATGTAAATATTACATGCTGGTTAATATCCATCCATTTTTTTCTGTTCTTTCAGCGGGATCAGATCAAGGTTCTTCAAAAAACCAAAGAAGGTGAGCTACTAGAGCTTACTGTCTTTTGTTTTCAAACTGTCAGATTGTTGGGAGATAATACGCCGTATACAGTTGTACAGTGGCCGACAGATTCAAATGAGCTGCAAACACATGGATGATGCAAAATCCAAAACAAGAAAACAAATGCAACAACAAGAACTGTAAATAGCAAAAACACTAAACGCCACCAAAACAACAGCAAGCAAAACATTCTGCTGTAATGTCTTTACGGAGAGGGTCTGGTCTCATGACTTGGTGGTCGAGTCCCCCTATGGTCTAGCACACTTCCATTTCGAGGAGTTAGTTTGCAGCGTTTCTTACTTGCAGCATTATTCCTCTGCATTTGTTTTGTTGGTTGTATGTTTTTTCGTGCGTCTATTTTCTGCGATTTCCACATTTTTCTGTTGCATGTGTCTTTTTTTGGTTTGTTTTAGAGTTTGCATCATTCACAGGTATGCAGGGCATTTAATGTTTTGCTGTGCATTTGGCTTTTTGTGGCACGTTTGCACCAGTTAGCCACCGTAAATACATAATAAAGATATCTACAGGGTACCAGCAGATTACATACTAGAGTATTTACAAGGTACTTAAAGCATACAATTGAGCATACAATTTACAGAATATGTACAACAACAATTAAATAGTACCTATATGGCAAAGGAGGGGGAACTTACAAGGTATGTATAATGTATTTACTGGAAATGTACCTGTATTTTTACAGGGTAGATACACAAGGTATGTACAAGGGTACATACATGTGAAGTACAGAATACATACACTGGAATATTTACTGGGTAACTTTACAGGTACATACTGGGTATGAAGAGACATATGTAATGATACCATACATGATAATATTGTTTGAGGTACTTAAATAAGATGATTGAAGTACTTACAGGGTACCTACAAAGTACATCAGAGTCAAAATCAGAGATTCTTTATTGTCATTCGCACCCCATCTGGTACATGTGGTGTAGCGAAATTATGTACACCGGGTCCCAGTTACATCCAACAATAAAATGTAAAATAAAAACATTAATAAGATCTATAATATGAACTAAGGAAAACAAAAACATCAACTAAAAATACACTAAGCACTAATAACATAAGAACATTACGTCGAACAGCAGCACGAACATGAGTCTGTGTGAGCAGATGAGCACGAATGAACACATCAACATGGATCAGATCAGCAGCAACATGGAACAGATCAGCAGCAACATGATGTGATTTTTCTCAGTGGTTATTCTGGTTAGAGATTCATGAGTCTAACAGCCTCAGGGTAGAAGCTGTTCCTCAGTCTAGTGGTTCTACACTTAATGCTCCTTAACCTCCTTCCTGAGGGGAGCGGGGCAAAAAATGTGTCTGCTGGGTGAGTGGGGTCCTTCATGATGCAGGTAGCCCTCTTCCTGCATCTGGCGGTCTAGATGTCTGTGATGGTGGGGAGGCTGATTCCAACATCTTCTGTGCAGCCTTCACCACTCTCTGCAAAGCTTTTCTTTCTGCAGCTGTGCAGCCTCCATGCCACACGTTGATGCTCGAGCACAGGATGCTCTCCACTGCACACCTGTAGAAGGAGGTGAGGACTGAGCTTCCCAGACCAGCTCGTCTCAGCCTCCTGAGGAAGTAGAGTCTCTGATGAGCTTTCTTGATCAGGCTGGTGGTGTTGTTGCTCCAGCTGAGGTTGTCACTCATGTGTACACCCAAGTACTTGTAGCTGGAGACCACTTCCACCGCAGATCCTTTTATTTTTAGGGGGTGTAGGTGTGTTTGTTTCTTCTGAAGTCCACGATCATCTCCTTTGTCTTCTTCACATTGATGTGAAGGTGATGTACACTTACAGCATATAAGCAGGGGAATGTACAGGGTACACATTATGTACATGTGGGATTACATATTGACGGTTAGAGTTCTTTTCTATTGTAAATGTGATCTGGACAATAAGTATGATTTTTTTGTTTCATGTCCTCAGGACCAAAATGAAGCAGACTATGTCAACAGAGTGATTGAGAGCCAAGCATCCTGAGACACAAGAAGGCGAGGAAGATGTCCAGACTGTTCTTTTGCTCTTTATGTTGTAAAATTCAAGCTTTGCTGGATCACAGAGTGATTCAGGCCTGTAAATGCTAAAATAAATGTTGCATTGATAATACAGGCTTGTCTTTTTTTTTTTTTTAAAGTAAACTAATATTGTTTTATGGACCTGCCTGGCTTTTGTATTTGACAGTATTATTTCACTCATTTTCTTTTCTTTTTTACACCAAATATTTATAATAAACAAATAGTTATTGAACACATTAAACATCACTGCTGATAAACATGAAGAAAACGTGAAACAGGAAAAATTATTTACAATAATTGAATAAATGACTTTTTAATAAATGTGTACAAACAAATTGCTTCATCAAAACATTGGTTTTATTAATTTAGTGTTCAACTTTTTAACTGTTGTTTGCATCTAAAGCTATTTAAAGTCAACAAAGGATTTATAAAGTGAAGTTTGCAGAGCAGCTGTTCAGATCTTCATCTTCACGTTGTTTCAGCTCAGATATGAAGAAAAATGATGATCATAATAAAAAATGCTTTAAGAAATGAATTAAAAACACTTCTGTAAAAATATGTGCACCTTTAATCTTCCTTTGCCTTTTTTTTTTTTGTATATATTTTATTTTTTAATCCTAAACCAACCACTAGGAAGCACAAGACAGTTTATTTCTTGTGCTGGTCCCAAGCTCGGGCAAATGGTTCAGGTTGTGTCAAGAAGGGCAATTGATGTAAAACATTTAGCCAAAACCAACATGCAAGTTCATCTAAATGACACCAAAGCAGATTGGTTGAGGCTTGGGTTGTAGGATTTCTTTGTTCTGTGTCTTAATCATTTTTCCTGCAGCCTGTGAGTATTTGGACAGGGCCACCCTTCCACAGCTGCACCTGATCCCGACTAACGACCTGTTGGTGTATTTAGGGACTTGGGAGCCAGTCCTACGATGCTGGAACATTAAGCTACCTTATGGCAGCCCAGTAGAAAGACTAAGCTTTGTGTTTTCTCTTGTGGTTTCAAGTCCTTCTTCTCAGTGGCCTCCAAGTCTTCTACTCTCCTTGGAACAACAACAGCGACCACCATCGTCAACCTGTGAACAGGATATTAGACTGGATTAATTATTGAAGTACTGTCACTCTGCGACTCTCTCCAACTTTACTCACCTCTTATGCCAAACACCCACCTAATACTTAGAACCTCCAGCTCCCCTCTCTAGACCTGCCAAACATAAAAAGGTAAGATTTCTTTCCCCTTGAAGATTAATATCAATCAATTTACCGTTCAGTCCTGCCCATACTCGCCTGTACTATACTGAACTTTCAGAAAACTACTCCAAACACGTAAATAAAGACTTTTTGATTCTCTGAGTCCTCTTTATCATTTCTCTGGGTCTAAACATACCTCAGACATGTTCTGGGTTAACGACTGCTACCGGTGCTGTTTACAACCAGTGTGCCGGCAGAAATTGTTCTATTGTCAGTGAAATACCACAAGGAAGGAGACATGTCAAGAAACAAAGGAAGAAGAAGAGGAAAGTGAAGAATGTAGGACTGAAGGTGGCAACTTAATGTGGGGACATTGACAGGCAAAGAGAGAGATGGCTGACATGATGCAGAGAAGGAAGGTAGAGGTTTTACGTATCCAAGACACCATGTGGAAGGGCAGCAAGGCTCGCAGCATTGGAGGCAGGTTTAAATGTTTTACCATGGTGTGGATAGAAAGAGAAATGGAGTAGGGGTGATCCTGAAGGAGGAGTTGACAACAAATGTAGTAGAGGTGAAAAGAGTGTCAGATAGGGTGATGTGTCAGAAAATAGAAATAGAAAGTCTGATGCTAAACTTTGTCAGTGGTTAGGTTCAACAGTTTGGATGTGATGTGGAAGAGAAAGATACATTTTGGAAAGATCTGGATGAAGTGATGGAGAGTATTCCCAGGGACGAGAGAGTGGTGATTAGAGCAGACCTGAATGGACATGTTGGTGAAGGAAACAGAGGGGACGAGGAAATGATGGGAAGGTTTGGTGTCAAAGAAAGAAACTAAGAATCACAGATGGTGGATTTTGCCAAGAGAATGGAAATGGCTATAGTCAACACCTACTTCCAAAAGAGAGAGGAGCATAGAGTGACCTATAAGAGTGGAGTAAGGAGTACGCAGGTCGACTACATTCTGTGTAGAAGAGGAAACCTGAGGGAGATTGGGGACTGTAAGGTTGTGGCAGGGGACAACGTGGCCAAACAGCATCGGATGGTTGTGTGCAGAATGACTGTTATTGTGAAGAAGAGAGTAAAATCAAAGAAGACCAAATGGTGGAAGATGAAGAAGGAAAAATGTGAGAAATTCAGAGACGAGCTGTTAAAGGTTCTGTGTGGTAAGAAAGAGCTTCTAAATGACTGGGCTACTACAACAACAGTAATTAGAGAGACAGGTAGGAAGGTACTTGGTGTGTCATCTGGACAGATAAAAAAAATCATAAGAAAACCTCATGTTGGAATAGTGAAGTGCAGAAAGCTATTCAGAGAAAGAGTTACTCAAGAAGCAGTATGATAGAGAGAGGACTGAAGAGAGGAGACAGAAATTTAAGGAGGTGCAACATAGAGCAAAGAGAGAGGTGGCTAAGGCAAAGCAGAAGGCTTGTAATGAGTTGTATGGGAGGCTGGACACTAAAGAGGAGGAGAAGGACTTGTACAGATTGGTAAGACAGAGGGACCAGGCTGGAAAGGATGTGCAACATGTTGAGCTTGTTAAATATTAAAATGATAATGTTCTGTTCTAACAAGTGATGAGACCATGATGGGAAGATGGAAAATGAGGCAGGTAGAACAGTGAGACAACAAGGAGCAGAGGTCACAAAGGTGCAAAACGTCAAGTACTTGTGGAGTACTGGTTCTGCTGAGGGTTTCTTTCTGTTTAAAAGGGAGTGGGTTTTTTTCCACTGTTACCATTGTGCTCGCTCAGGATAGGAGACTGCAAGGAAATCAAGATTCAACGTGTCTGCTAGCTTCCTTCCTTAGATAGATAACTTTTACTAATTGGCTTTTGAATGTATGTGACTGTTTTTGTGCAGGGCCCTGAGACAACTTCTGTTGTGATTTGGCGCTATATGAATAAACTGAATTGAACTGAAGCACTTGTGGTCAGCTGTTCAGGAAAATGGGGAACGTGGTAAAGAGGTGAAAATGAGAGTCCAGGCAGGATGGATAAAAGTTTCAGGAGTGATTTGCGACAAAAGGTTGTCAGCAAAGATCAAAGGAAAAGTTTACAAGACAGTGGTGAGAACAGCTATGTTTTATTATTTGGAGACAGTGGCACAGACAAAAAGACAGGAGAAAGAACTGGACATACCAGAAATGAGATGAGATTCTCTTTAGAAATGACAAGGATGGATAAGATTAGGAATGAGATCATCAGAGGTACAGCACAGGTTGAACTGGGAGATAAAGGTAGAGAGGACAGACCGAGATGGTTTGGACATGACCAGAGGAGGAACAGTGGGCATATTGGTAGAAGGATGTTAGAAATGCAGCTGCCAGGAAAAAGACAAAGAGGAGACACATGGATGCAGTTAGAGAGGACATGGAAGTAGTTGGATTGAGGACAGAGGAAGCAGAAGACAAAGGGAGATGGAGGAGGATGACTCGCTGTGGCAAACCCTGAAGATGAAACAGCCAAAAGAAGAAGATTAATTCAAAATCCTGTTAACTTTACATTCATCAGGACCAATCTTCTCAACTGGGAGAGTCTGCTCTATCCTTCATCGCTGCAGAATTAATGAATAATTCCAGATACTCGTCCTTGTTCCCTTCCAGCATCGAAGCTGCTGCACCAGTAAATAAAGATCACTTCCTTTTGTACATCGGGCTCTGTCTTCCTTCTCAGTCAGGTAACTTGGGGTTGACATTACCTGTAATCATGATGCAATGGATTCTGCTGCTGTATAAAAGCCTGCAGATGACTCTTCAATACTCATGCTGTGACATGTTCCATCCATTATGCATCTATGTATGTAATGTCTTGAATGGGTCCTTGCAATTATCACGCCAGTTATAATCCTTCTCATGCTGTTGAGTGTGGTAAACAACATTTGTGTAAGGATCTAGTTTTGGTTTTGAACTCTAAAATTCAGGGAGGACTCAGTAAAGAAAAGTTATTTAATGAAAAATAAGCCAAAGGGCTGACGTGGCAGCAAAAACTTACATGAAAAATACAAGGTCATGAAGGGAGACAAAACCAGGATTTAGTGCAGGACATGAAACAGGAGCCATGAGTCCTCATGAGGAAATGACCAGATACCAGACAACAGAACACACTGACTTAAATACACCAACACTGGTGAGACAAATGACAAACAGCTGGGAGGAACAGGTGATGAAAACTGGAACTTAATGAGGGAGTAGTAACTTTGACAGACCACATGATGGAGGCAAAACACTAGGAAGAGAAAAAAGAACCAAGAGAAGGAGAAACACAAAAATTACAGACAAAAAGGCCAGACTATGACAATTAGTGACAGAGATTTTCTTCAACACTATCAAATGAGCGTGCACATCTTCAGTAACAGTCCCTCCCCACTAGTGGCGATCTACAGGCTGAGAATGGCAGCAAGGGAGACAGAAACTGAACTGATGCTCCAAACTTCATAGAGCAAGACGTATCCAATGACAACGCATTAAAAAGTCTTTCCCAACTGAAGATGAAGCTTAAGAAGTCCCACAAAGGGTGCAGAAAATGCTTGCGCTCTCAAATTCACATCTCAAGTTTGCTTCCAACTACCAGTAAATTGAAGTGGTGAAGACACTTCCACCTGAGGAAAGGGCCAAAGAGATCAAAGATCTCAATTTAACAACTGATGAGCTTCCAGACCACTGCAGCTTGGGGGTGAGTTGGTACCCCACATCCGCTACGTTCACATCCCATGTTCCCCAAGAGCAGAAGTCCTTCACTTGCCGTGGCGTACCCTCAACAGTAAACAGCTTGTTCAATCCTCTTGGGTTGCTTGTTCCTGTAACCATCAAATGTAGACTTCTTCTCATAGAGCTCTCCAGCAGTAACCTTGAATGGAAAAGCCCTTTACCCAAACACATGTATGATGACTGGAGAAGATGGCATGACTCACTACAGAGCCCACAAGTCTGCACATTCCTTGTACCTACTGTATGTCACGTTCTCCATCTCAGGTCACCTTCATTGAACTTTACGTGTTTTCAGGTGCTTCAGTGAAAGCCATCACTGCAGTAGCTTACTTAAAGTTCACACATGACGATGGACATAGTGAAGATGGGTTCGCCATGGTAAGGTCATTCTGGCTTCTGTACCAGAGCTCACCATTCTTCGGTTAGAGCTCTGAGCTGCAGTGCTTGCTGTGGAGATCTTAGAGCTCCTCACGGAAGAACTGGCCATTTCGATTGGCGTTTACACTGACAGTAAAGTGTGTTAGGATACATCAACAGTCAAAACAGAAAATACCCAAACTGTGACACTGTACATGTAACTATTTATTTCCTCAGTTTTAAAGGTGTTGTTGTCATCAAGACCAAGAATCTGCTTGGAGTTCCTGCATTAATGTCTCGTGATCTAAAAGAGAAGGAGTCCGTCTCTATAACCTGCTCAGCTCAGACTTCCTGTCCACACAGTGGTCCATGTCTCAGTTTTTAGAGTGAAGCTTCTTCATCGTGTTCACCACAGGTTGGTTTCTGGAGCATTTTGCTTTTGAGCTAAAGTCTTCTCATGTTTGTTCACTGTTAGTCGTCTGAGAAATGAGATGCAACTACACATCAGCACCGAACGCTGCAGTGGCATCTGATGGTTAACAGACAGCAGAACAAAAAAACCCCCTCCTGTTTATTAAAAACATCATGGGGTTGAAAAGGTGGCAAAAATGTCACTTCCTGTTTTGCGGCTTAGAGCTTAAAAATTAGATGTCTTTAAAAGGAGATGTCTTCTTCGATAAACTAAGGAAGGATGACGACTGTTGGTTTGACTTTAACACATGCTGCTTGTTATATTTTCAGTTGATGGACTGAAACGTTTCCAGTCTGAAAGATGTCGGCAGCTCTGTGTGTGACCGTGCTGACAGTCAACATGTTCCTGAATGTCTTCTGTCCTCCAGGTCAGCTGTTTCCTCACTTTATTTAAACACGTTAAAGATTAAACTGTTTTATTTAAGCTCTACAAAGAAACACAACAGTTGCTGTAAAGTTAGTTTTGTTAATTTTCTCTTCAAACAAACTTTCTTCACATTTATTTAATTATTAATCTGATTTTACAGGAGTTTTGGCTGATAGATGTGAAGGTGTTAGATCCAGTCACTTCATCAGTGCACCAAAGAAGATGGAAGCTCTGAGTGGAACTTGTTTGCTGATCCCATGCAGCTTTACTCCTAAAGAATGGTACATCAGTAGCAAAGTCTCTGCAGGTTGGATTAAACGTGGAGATGATGTTTATGACATCAGTAATTCAGTTAAAACCTTTTCAGCAAAGATTAAAGGAAACCTGACAGAGACAAACTGCACCTCTGTGTTTTCTGGTTTTAACACGAATCATTCAGGGGAATATTTCTTCAGAGTCGAGATGAGATGGTTCAAGGCAACAGCTGTCTGTGATCCTCTTCATGTGACAGTTAAAGGTGAGACATGTTTCATTAAACAGGAACCCTGAACATATTTTCATCTTCTAGAACATAGTTGTACCAAATAATGCCAAAAGTCAGTTCTTTTGAAACATTTGTTGATTTTGTGCATCATTTTAAACACTCCAGTGATGCTTTACAGCAAGAATCAGTAATTTAGCAGAAGATACTCGTTGTACTCACGTTTTGATATTTATCACCCACCGTTGAAGCTGAGGGGGAGAGATAATGTTTTTTCCTTTGTCTATTTGTGTTGGTTTGTAGCACTGTTAGCAAAATATCTCAAAAATCATTGGTCAGATTTCAAAGGAACTTTCAGAAATTAATCATGAATAAACATTTACAATTGACTAAATGTTGGAGTCAACCCAATTCAAGATGGCTGCCACAGCTAGTCATCTTTACCCTACAACAAATAGCTATGCATTATTTAATTACAGATACTGAAGTCAACTTTGGTGTGGTAGTAGCTGAAAGTGATTCTAAACACAGACTCCAAAGCCGCTTTAAGCCGCTGATAAGTGCAACTGCACTCGGTTCTTGTCTTATCGGTTCTTCTCAGGGTTGACTGCTGTCCGCTCACGTCAAAATCAGTCCTGGAACCCTGAACAAGGTGGTCCTATAAACTGGGCTTAGTGGAGGTGGGCACTGGCAGTGGGCAGGCCCTTCATTTTAGTTATTATTTTTATTAACCTTCATCTAACCAGGGAAATTCCACTTAGATCACATTTATGTTTTGCAAGGGAGGCATGGGTCAGAGTGGTGTGGTGTGAAACTGAAGGGGGTGGAGACATTGGCAAAGTGTCACAAGTGCCAACAGATCGCTTGAGATACCGTATCTCAATATGGCATAAGATTGCTCATAAAGTTGTTTAAAAAATAACTTGAACTACACTATTTCTCACCATGATCTTAACATTCTTGCACAACAGGGCCAGAAAGGGAGCGGGTGAAAGGATTTTTTTATGGAGAATTCTGGGCTGTTAATAGAGAAGCAGAAATTTAGTCAGAAAACACGTGTAAATGTTTAAATATCTTTATTAGAAAATGCAGCTTGAGTTTGTAGTTTTGGCCGTCTGGCAGCAGTGAGTGTGCAGACAGAGTTGTGCCAACAGCAGCAGTCATTGTAATGCTGTGCAGAGTGAATCAGGAAGTTTGCAGCGCCTACATTAATAGACTAATATAAACTTGATCTGTTGTGTAGCCTGTGAGTGTGAGATCCTGTGTGAAGCTGCAGCACAGCTCCACTTGTCTCACAGCTCCTGTTCATCTTTACTCTGTCTGAGTGGACATTTCACCTTAATGTTGGTCCAAATACACAGTTCTGTTGACTTATTTCTGAACACCAGAACAATAATGATAATTAAAAAGAAATAAGGGGAAAAGGATGACAGGATAAAATGTAAAATGTCAGCTTTAATGTGAGGTTGTAGGAAATGTGCTTCATTTGTTTAGGATTTATGTTTCATAAAAACACTTTCGTTTCAAAGAGACACGTGTAATGGAATAATTTACTCAAGTCTGCAATATATAAAATGCTGATTTATCTAATTTCTTGTTGTTTTCTTCAGCTGCTTCCACCTTAGAAAGGTTGATTATCTCATTTTTGATTTTAAACCAAGAGGCATTACAATCAGCAAAGATCAAGAAACCAATTGTATTTGTATTTTGATTTCCTCAAAGTTCTTAAATCGTTAAACTTTTCTATAAAATAAACATAAACAGACAAACAGATCTTGTCTTTAGCACCACTACAGCAGAAGTCAAAACTCTCAGTTTGTCAGGGATTTTGATGTTTTTCAATTCCTTGTTCGTTCTGCATCCCAGGGCCGTACTTCTACTATTCCATGACCAAAAGCATTTTAACATGAACATAAATTATGTTTTAACTCAGTTAAACAAGGATTATTAAACTTTACAGTCAGTATACCAATCACATGTTTAGTTTAAATGATTTTGTGGGTGTTCTGATGAAAAATCTTGATGAACAGCTGCTGCACAAGTCTAATCTCACATGTTTGACCGGTTTGAGTTGTGAAACTATAAAAATTACTGTTTATTGATTTCCTCTGTTCTAAATTATACATTTGATGTGAAATCCCAGATTCTGATTTATTTTTTAATTTTTTTAGATTTAAAAGTTCAGAATTCAGCTACTAAATGCAGATTTATTACTTGAAGTAAACGAGACATTTTATGTCCTTCATCTGAGGGTAAATATTAAAGTAACAAAGAACAGTTTGTAAACAGAAGGTGGTTATTATTGAGCCTAAACATGAAGGAATGAAGCAAACAAAGATGCTATTAATAATAATAATCTGTCATAATTCAGCTAAACATAAAAAAAAATCTGTTTAGTTGTTTTCTCCTTTTAAAATGTGTGTTTGATGTGAAATCCCAGATTCTGCCTGGAGTCCCAGCATTAAAGTCTCAGGTGATCTGAAGGATCTGAAGGAGGAGGAGTCTGTCTCCATCACCTGCTCAGCTCAGACTCCCTGTCCACACTCACCTCCTGAACTCACCTGGAGTCTCCAACAAGACTCTCAGAGAACAGAGAAGAACCCAGATGGAACGTTTACAACTAAAATCCAGAAGAACATGATTCTGTCAGACACACATGATGGAGACAACATCACATGTTCTGTCAGATATCCTGTGGATGGAGGGAAACGTAAGAAGACAGCAGAAACAAATCTGACTCTCAGTGTTTCCTGTAAGTGATCCTGTGGACCCGTCACGGTTCAGCTGGTTCTGATGAATGAAGTTAATGTGTGACCCGTTCTCCTCAGATGCTCCTAAAGACACCTCAGCATCCATCAGTCCATCAGGTGTGGTGTCAGCAGGTAGCTGGGTGGAGCTGAGCTGCTCCAGCAGAGCCAAGCCTCCTGCCAGAACCTTCACCTGGTTCAGGAACAGCTCAGAGGGATTCACCAAAGTTTCTGTGGGTCAGGTTTACAGGTTCAACGCCTCTGAGGGAGGAGAGTTTTACTGTGAGGCTCTAAATGATCTGGGTAATCAGACGTCACCTGTGGTTCTTCTTAACTTAAAAGGTAAATAGTTTATTGAATTATTATTTTTTAATCAGAGGAAGGAGAGTTTTACTTTGTAGCCATCAAACTCTGTCACGGAACAAAAAGGCGAATTCTGGCCCGGGCTAAAACCTAGGTCTCGGTCCGGTAGAAGAGAACTCCAGCGCGGTTCGAGTACAGTGTGAATGTAAACAGACCAGACCCGCTCCGCAGGGTAAACAAACACGCATTTCTCTGACCTTATATGGAGCCGTCAGCTACATTGTGTGGAAAAACAATATTCTCCATGGTCTTCTGTCTCATCTTCTGCTCATGCTAAGTCCATTTTTGAAAAATGACAAAATATAACTCCTAAAACTGCTAAAACTTGATGCCACTTCGTTTTTATTTTTATTTACAGAAGAAGACGTGGCTTCAGAGGTTTTTGTGTCATTTCTTTCAGTAGTTCTTGGTGCAGCGCCCCCTCAGGCGAGCAGGGGAATAGGTTGGTTCAACAGGTTGACTCGACTGCACAGTGCAGTGTGAATGCAAACGCACCAGCTCAAATGTAAACAAACGCTCATGAATATTGGTCCCGAGTCTACCGGACTATCTAGTGTGAAAACGACCTAAGATGAGTGGTGATAGGTATACAGTTTTGCCACATATTCCAGAGAAGGTGTCAAATATAGATTGCCAAAAGAGTTGCAGTTTGGGACAGGTCCAGAATGTATACAGGCATGTTTTACAATGATTACATGCAGGGTCCAGGCTGAATTTGATCTTGGACAGCTTGTCTTTGTACCAGTGCAGTCGTTGCACTACCTTGAATTGAATCATAGCCTGTCTCAGACAGATTGAGGATGAATAAATGTTCTTAATGATTTTTTGCCAGATTGAGTCTGATATGGATTCCTCCAAGTCAATTTCCCATTTCAGTTTAAAAGAGTCCAAACTGGTCTCATGGTATGAATCCGATCTTGCTGAGGCCCCCCTTAGAGTGAGACATGCATTCCAAAATCTTAAACCACAAAATGTTTAGAGGGGTACAATGGAAAACATTCAGAGTTAGACCAAAGTTCATGCTCATTAATCCAGGTGTAAATCCAACAATGTTCAGTCAGGTCATCTGGACAGTTTCTTTTGTCGCTGAAGTCAGAGTTAGACCTTACAAAATGTCTCAGCTGCAGATATCCAAAAAAACTGTGACTTGTGAATGTTAAACTTCTGTACCAGCTGCTCAAAAGAGGCAAATTTATCATCAACATTGAAATCATATAGTGAAGGTAAACTACTCCCTTCAAAACCCAGGCATCAAAAGCTGTATCAGCTACTGAAGGAGTAAACATGAAATTATTTGACACAGGTGCCACCAACAGTAACTCTGTAGAGTTAAATGCTCTCCTGAACTGATTCCAGATCTTAACTGTCCAGATCACATTTGGGTTAGAAGTTTAGGTTGACATTGACTGTTTGAAAGACAGCCAAGAGCAGAGTAATGCAGAGGGGGAGCTGGATCTAATGAAAGCCTATCCAAAGCCACCCAACTGGGAGAAGGGATATCCTTACCCAACCAGACCAATAGAGCTCTGATATTAGTTGTCCAGTAATCGTGCATGAAATTAGGAAGTGACATGCCTCCAACTTGCGGGGCAGAAGCAAGACCCTCCCAGCAATCTGTGGATGCTGATATCTGGCTGTTCACATTGGAGAAGAAGGATTTAGTAAGGAAGATTGGAAGGTTCTGAAACATATATAGGAATTTAGGTAGACTTTTTTTTTTTTACAGAGTATATTTTATCCCCAGACTGTGAGGTAGGGATTGCAATGTAACAATGTTTAAGTCTAAAAAGTTAAATCTGGTCCTCTGGACATTCAAAAAAACAAAACAAAGCAAATCAACAAAAAAATGTAGAAACGTTTCGTCTCTCATCCGAGAGACTTCCTCAGTCTGAGGAGCTGTATTCAGCCCAGTCTCTTAAATAGCACCGTCTCAGGGTGGATCAACCAGTTTTGCTGCTGACAACCAAAACCAGCTGATCACATGCTCAAGAAGGACCATCAGCCTAACAATGGATCATTAGCACACTGATGGCTGTTTACTGTTCACAGAGGGCTGAGTGATACTAGCAATCACAGCATTGTAAGAGGGGGACAGTTGAACCCGGAGGCCTCCACCCCTGTTTAATGATGGACGATTTCTTTTCACAAAGATGGCCTCCTTTACTCCCCCCTCAAACCATCGTTCCTCTCTGTCCAGGATGTGAACATCTTCATCCCTGAAAGAGTGACCGCTGGCCTGGAGATGAGTGTAGACCGCAGAGTCCTGGCCTGATGATGTTGATCTTGAGGCCTCCGGGTTCAACTGGGGAAAAAAAGCAGACTTGAGTCTCTTCACCGACTGCCTACTGCGCCGACTTCCATCAGACCCAGTTCTTCACCAGAGTCACTTGAGGGATCTACTTCTATCCACAACTCTACACAAGAAGGGCCTCTCATCTGGTGGACCGAGTTTCACATCGAATCTGTCCACAGGCAGCGAAGCCACAGTCCCAAGGTGGAGATCTTCCCATCACCCCTCCTTGTGGAGGAGGAAGGAAGGAGGGCTCCGCTTGGGGGAAGCTGCCTCACACAAGATCCCGAGTCCTCCTCCCAGATGTCTGAGGGAGACACTGAGCTCAAAGAGGAGCTCTGGCCTTCTCTTGGTTCCAGTCCATGCTGCTCTTGCCGAAGGAGAGATCGACGGCAAAAAAGGCCCGGAAGCTTAGCTCCCCCCAGCCCCACAACGTGACCTCCCCCCCCCCCCCAACCGGCCCCCCCCCCCCCCAGCTCCACAACCTGACTCCCCCCAGCTCTACAACCTGACTCCCCCAAGCTCTACAACTTT